AGCAGTGACTGTTCTTTTCTCCAATGTGAGCAGAGACCAAGAGGTGTCCTATCAATGGTCACATGACTGTTCATCTCAGCCTTGGACCCCACGTGGGAGGATGCTGCATCATAGAGGTAAGTGTGTGTGTGTGTGTGTGTGTGTATATATATATTTTACATTTATGTTTTATTTGTTTACCCTAAGCCTCCTAAAACCACTTACATGGAAAATGTAAAAAATTATCATGACATATGAAGTACATCCTTAGAGGTTTAAAGTGAATTAACTCTTTTTTCTTTTCTGCAGAGTTAATAATGGCGGCTCATTGATGCCGCGCTCTGCGCACACTTCTAGATCGGCTTAATAGAAGGCAGCAATGATGTAAATGGCGAGGGGTGTAGGCTAGGTTTGTATGATGGATAAACCTGTAACCTAGACGCATGTGTGTTAAGTTTATTTATTTTTATGCCAAAGAGCCGCAACAACAATGTATTTAGGATCTATACATTGACCACTTTACTTTTGTGTGTTACGCCTCTAAAACGCATGTAAACAGGACAGAGCCCAGGAACAACTACACACAGGAGTTAGCCATCTTGGAAGCATGAAAGCTGATTATACATCCCAGATAACTTCTCCTGTGTTCAATACAGGCGGCCGGTGTGCAGGAGGCCTAATACTGTAATGGACTGATCCCGTTGTATGCTGTAGTATAGAGGCAACGCTTTCTGGTGCTCAGAACATTCCTCCAACTGTAGTCACAGTCCAGGGGGCGTGGCCACTATGAATATTAACCAATTCAGGACCACCAGCCATATATAAATGTCCTCATGCTGAAGTGGTCTTACCGAGATCAGGGCTGCTTCTGCAACCTGTCCCTTCGTTCTCCCCGGGGAAAATCTGAGAATGTTCGTCCTGTGCGACAATATTCACAAATGAGCTTTCTCTCGTAATTCAATTTCAGTGTTCTAATTATTATATCACATTATGGCCCATCGAAGTGTTTCTTTTCTAGGCTAGGCTCAGACACCGAACACAAGCTATGCTACATGTCCTTTCCACTTTCTCTTAAGATCCACCCACAAAGTCATTTTGATATTTGCATAACTCCTCCCAAGAGCCAGCCCACTGCTTGCCTCAGGGCTGAGGACTCTTTAGATCAGTACTGAGGCAGGGTGCTGTGATGTTTTCAGGAAGCTATGTACAGCCGCCTGCAGGCCCCTCCCACCAGCCATGATCTGCCTGCAATGCATACAAAAGCACAGGGACCCAATAATGACTAAAATAAGGATTGTAATGAAAACAGAAAGGTTTTAATTAAATATTTAACTATCATGTTTCTGAAGGTGGACGGGAGGAACCGAGGAAGGCAAAATGTAAGCAGATTTAACTTCAAATTTTTATAGCTTTTCAAATGTGCAGCTTTCAGTAATATAACTGGTGATCCATGAAGGTCTTGTTCAGATACTTCCTGTTATGGGGTGAAGGTTCTCTGTCCCGGTCTTGGAATTGTAGAGTTGTCACCCTGCCATGAAGGCTCTTGCTCAGGTACTTCCTGTTATGGGGTGACAGTGCTCAGCCCCGTGTCCAAATTGTAGAGTTGTCACCCTGCCATGAAGGCTCTTCCTCAGGTACTTGTAGTTATGGGGTGACAACTGTCTCTCGCTTGTGTCCCTACATTGTCACCCTCTCACATTGCTCCTGGTTGAGACCACAAGCGGCTATGCCAACACACATGGCGCTGGTATGATCCGCTGTCATTAACACACTCGGTGGGTGGCCCTGTTGGCAGCCTTCTGTCCGACATCCTTCGATCACAGAATGGAAGGAGCCGGATTGGCTGCTTTCACTGGACATTGGCACAACCACCGCTGTCAGAAGACAATAGCTCAGCAGAGATTTGTCCATCCAGGAAAAATGGAGGAATCATTTATACTTTTTTATTTTATTTCACCCGCAGTGTGAACGAAAACAATAGAATATTGTATGACCAGTTTAAAGAAGAACTCCAAAGTTAACCCTTTCAGTGGGGCTCCTCCCACACAGCAAGTGTTAAATGCTTGTTTTGGTCTAGGGGCCGGAATAAAGAAGATATGGATTCTTGGTCCTGCGGCGGTCAGCGCTTACCTTTCTCCCCTTCCTCCGTTCCAGCTGTGGGATGTCCCGTGGTATCTTCACCTCTAATAAGGTGCCCATACACTGCTCGATTCTCGTACGAGAATCGCGGGAAATCCCGCGATCGTACGAGAATCGAGCAGTGTGAACGGAGACGTGCGACCGTTTCTACTGTACGGTCGCACGTCTTCCGTCGAACCAGCATGTTCGAAAACCAGCCGGGAATCGTACGATTCTCGGCTGGTTAGAACGGTGCTCGGAAGACAAATGACGAACGGGCCGGTGTGCGCACGCGCACACTGCCCGTTCAGCATTGCGGTCATCGGAAGCCCGTCCCTCAGGGGGGGCGGGCTTGCGATGATCGAGAGTGCGATCTGCCTGTCCAAGATAGGCAGATCGTACGTTTTTTTAATCCCTTTACAACCAGCGCAAGACTAAGGTCTTGCGATGGTTGTACAGTGTATGGCCACCTATAGACTTTTATTAGATGTGATGACATCACGGGTCCTTAGACCACTGGAACCCGAGGGGAGAAGAGGCTGAAGGGACTGGTCTAAGAGCCAGGTGGGATCAACTATTTCTTTATTTTCATCCCTAGACCTAAACAAGCACTTAACCCTTGTGGCAGCCTCACTGCAAGGGTTAATTTTTTTTAAATTGTGGATTCCGCTTTAAGGGTCTGTCTGATTGGATAGATTAGAGACGTTTTGGTACATCTAAAGTTGATGATGCAAAGATTGTATGGTGACCCTAAGCAATAATGTATCATTGACTCTTGCACATACAAAGACTGGGCTCATCTACCACCCCAATCCTATCCGCCGCCTCCCTGTTCTGTATTCAGTCCTTCCTCCAGCCGGGCTTTCCTGGTCTCTGCAGCTTCTGTCCTCTCTTCTTCCTCAAATAAATCTTTATCGAGTCTCTCCAGGTTTGGCAGAGCGATCAGCGATTCCAGGCGGTAACCGTCTTCCTCTTCCACGGGGTTCTCCCTCAGCACCAACGCTCGTAGCATGGGCAGAACTTTTAACTTCTCCACTTCCTGTAACTTGGACACCAGATTACCTCTGCGCAGGGGAAGATTGGGAGAAGGTCAGCTAGGATTACGCTCAGTATAAAAGGATCTACAGTATACTCAATCGAAGGGCTGAATAGTTTCCTGGAGAACATGCTGCTCCAGACTTCCTCCAGTGATGCTTGCAGAGATATGGTCACATGATCTCTGCTGAAGATTAGCCAATCTGGACTCTGATCCTCCCCTTGGGCAGAGATCACATTACAACAGATCTAGGCTTCTGTAAGCAGCACTAGAGCAAAACCTGATGCAGTATTTTCTCCTGGGGAGGTAGAAGTTTGCATCTCTTTTATTACACAATATTATTGTAATGTGATGTCGACCTTCATCCCTTTCACTGCCAGAGCAGTTTTAGCATTGTTTGCACACATGTTATAATCAACATTTTAGGTCAGAAGATTACTTAACCCCCCCAATTTATATATTTCCTGACACCAGAGACCCTATAGAATAAAATGACGGCAGCCGCAAATTTGTATGTCACATGATATTAGCGTAACTCTTTATCGAACCCACAATTTCAGCAGAAAGTACACTTAAGAAAATGTAGTGCACAAAACACAATATAATTCTTTTTTTGTAAAGCTTGTGCTGAGTAAATAGATCACATGCCCCCCTATGTGATACCACTTTAGTGGTGACAGGTTCTCTTTAAGGTGACTTTAGAGGTCTATTAGACCCCTAATGTCATTTTTGCAACCCATTGAGGCCCCGTTCACATTGAGCGATTTATCGCGCGGTAATTCCCGCGATATCGCTCTTCAATGCATCTCAATGGGGCAAAGGGTTCTGCTGTCGCGGGTCGTGTGTCGCTACAGCAGGAGCGGATTTTGCCGCGATTCTCGCTTGCTCAATGCAAGCATTTTCGCGATATCGCACAAATCGCGCGATTTGCGAATCGCACAGTGTGAATGGGGCCTGAAGCTGATCAAGTACAGATTGTTAGTTTCTTCCCCGGCCTCTCTAGCTGGGAAATGACAGCTTAGAAACCGAAAATGATGAAATCATCGTCGCTTCCAGTTTCATTGATCGGGGAGGAAACCTGTGAATGGACGTTAACTTGTCTCTTTCCCCTCTACCTGCGATGCTGCTCAGCAAGGGGCAGGGGTTGGCACATAATTACCGGCCCCTGGAAGCGATTTGGTAACTTTACAGCTACCAGAATCCCTACCAGTGTAAAGCGGACAGTCGGCTTTACACAGGTAAACAAAGTCCTGGCAGCTATTGGTCATTGCTGTTGATGCATAACATACATCAGTGGCAGCGAAAGGGCTAAGGGTATATCTAGGCCAAATTAAAAATATATAAAAAAAACATATCCAGTACACCTCTGCATGGTTTTCCCCTTGTTGTACTCATTTAAAAAATGTTGCAAGTTTGGCAAAATACTTGTTGATCTGCCAGAAATCCTGTGAGCTCCTAACTTCCTGTTTGAGCCAACAATTCTTCTACTGCAGCACTGAAGTCACAAGAGAATTCCCTTCACTTCCTGCTGCATCGCCAAGAGAAGGGAAATCTTCCTAGCAGGACACAGACAGCAAAATATAACCCGATGGGGGTTTATTTCTTCCCTTCTCTATCCAGAAGGAGAACAAAAACATTTTGGCTATACAGTGCATATGCTTTAAACTTGAGCCGTCTGTACATGGAGTGCATGGCTGTGAGAATTGTGTATTAGTAGGAATGTAGCCGTCTGTACATGGAGTGCATGGCTGTGAGAATTGTGTATTAGTAGGAATGTAGCCGTCTGTACATGGAGTGCATGGCTGTGAGAATTGTGTTCTAGTGGGAAAGGATTTTCATACCGGAGGTTCAGGTATTGAAGAGCCTCCATCTTCTCAGAGAAGCCGTCCAGGTTCTCCAGCTGGTTGTCTCTTAGGTGAAGGCTGGTGAGACTTACGAGGTGCTCCAATCCTTCCAGCGTCTTTAGGTTATTCTGTGCCTGAGGACAGCCAGATGTTAAACATGCAGAAAACCTCTCACAATGATACATTCATTCACACGGCTTAAAGCTGAACTCCGGCTTTCCCTTCAGTCCTGCACAGTTGTACCGGCTCCTCTCCTGGACTGAAATGTCTTACTCTGATTTCACTGCACACTGCGAGCTTCTCACAATGTTCATTAGAAGCTGCAGGATGTCAGCTAAAGCCCGCCTCACTTCCTGGCTGGAGGATTTCCAGCATCATCTAGCACCCCCATAGTCTCATACTGTACACGGAAGATATGATTTAAAAATCAAATTGCCTTTGCTTGAAATTGGTTTATACAAACTGAAACCAAGGGATCATAATGGGGTGTAGGTACTCTTAAAAACTAAGACCACACAGGGACTCATATACATACATACATGCACGCACGCACGCACAACACACACGCACAACACACACACACACGCAAGTTGAACTTGATGGACCTGCGTCTTTATTCAACCTCTAATACTATGAAATGAGCACCCTTGCCCAGGGGCGTAACTAGAAATCACAGGGCCCCATAGCAAAATTTTGTATGGGGCCCTGTGATTTCTAGTTATGCCCTTCGCAGAGCCCACCTGATATACCAAACAGCCCACCTGAGAGTGACCCTGCTGAGCCCACCATAGACTCTCTATGGTGAGCTCTGCAGGGTCTCAGGTGGGCTGCACACCTCTTAACTGTCAGTGCTGCCCGCCTCCGTGGTCGCCGGGCCCCGCCTCCTCTTCTGTCCCCGGGCCCCTCCTGCTCTGAGGTCGCCGGGCCTCGCCTCCTTCACTGCAAATGCAGGGTCCAGCCTCTTTGCAGCAGCTGCTGGCTGTCACTGACACAGCTCAGCAGCGGCTGTGAGGAAGAACGCGCCGCTGCACACATCACTGACATGTTGTCAGTGATCTAACAGCTGCAGTAGGGTGAGGGTGCTCTCCGCACACCTTTCAGCAATCCCGGCCAGTACACAGGGATGGTGCTTGCAGTAACTCCACGGATGGCACCGTGCAAAACGAACAGTTGACGAAATAGGTCACCAGCACTCAAAAGGTTTAAAAATGAATAAGTCCTTTTTATTGGACCATGGTGTCACGACAATCGAAAAAAGCCGACGTTTCGGGGCTTTCCCTTTCTCAAGGCAGAAAATGTGACCGATTTTTTTGTCACATTTTCTGCCTTGGCCCCGAAACGTCGGCTTTTTTCGATTGTCGTGACACCATGGTCCAATAAAAAGGACTTATTCATTTTTAAACCTTTTGAGTGCTGGTGACCTATTTCGTCAGTGATCTAACAGCGGCGCGTTCATCTTCACAGCCGCCAGTGACTGCCAGCACCCTATGCCATAGCGACATCAGAGATGCCCTGGCCGGGCCCCTTGTGCCCGGGCCCCATAGCGGCCGCCTGGGTCGCTATGGCGATTGTTATGCCACTGCCCTTGCCACCATAGCTGGAGTACTGCATACTGGGCCATATAATTGAAAAGCAGTCTCTAAAACTTCAAAATCAACTGCCTGGAGTGTAAGGTCCCAAATCAGATTATGATAGGACTGTGCTAATTCTTGCACGCTCAAAATAATATTTATGGCCAAAGGTTTGTGGACACCTGACCGTCACACCTATTTATGCCTATTGAACAGCCCATTCCAATACCATGGGCAGTACTATGGAACTAATCCCACATTGTGGCTAGAACAGGCTTCACTCTTCTGAGAAGGCTTTCCATGGGATTTTGTGCCCAAGTCACAATAAGAGCATTTGAAGTGAGGTATTGATGTTGGATGAGAAGATCTGACTTGCCATTGGCGTTCCAGTTCATCTCAAAGAGGTGTCAGTAGGGTTTAGGTCAGGGGCCTGTGCAGAACACTTAAGTTCCTCCACACCAACTGGTCAAAGCATGTCTTTATGGAGCTGGCTTTGTGCACGGGGGACAATGCTGGAACAGAAAAAGGCCTTTATCAAAATGTCTTCATATGCTGCAGCATTAGGCCTCATTCACACTGCCGTACAATACGCTGCGTATATGCGCGTATTGTCCCATATGCAGCGTAGGCAAATAAATGGCTCCATACTCATAGCTGCGTATGGAGCCGTATTATTGCGCTGTGTAAAGATGCGCAAAAACAGAATGGACCCGAGATGGGTCCGGGCAACGTATTTCTGCGTATTTTATGCGCATGTACGCGTGTGTTCATTAAAATTTCTATGAGGAATGATGCATTCTGGGAATGCATATAGTGCACGCATATACAATTTTGTTCTTGCGTTGTGTGTGCATGAGGCCTTACCTGTATCCTTCAATGGGGACACCTGAACCTAATAAGAAGGGGTGTCCCACATTACTCAGGCCAGATAGTAGGTAGGTGTGATGGCCAGGTGTCCCCACACTTTTTTGCCAATAGTGTATATTGCAGACAAATACAATAACTGGAGTGTGCAATCAGTAACAGTAGCTGCCACAAACACATTTCGGAGCTCCTTCCTTTATGATGAAGGGGCTGAGGCCTGAAACACATTACTGGCCGCGTCACTACACAGGTTGGCTCTCTTGTGTGCATCGTAGAGACGTTCGGAGGGTCCAGTCTGGCCTTCTGTATTCACCCCCTCCTAAACTGACTTCCTATATGTTTAGTAGGTTCCATCTTCAGGGAATTGCCGTCTAGACCACACACCACCGGGACGTTACCCAAAATATTTTTCTGTGCCGCACTGGAACCTGTAAGTGCAATTCATTATTTATTTCTATCCATGAACTTCCTGCATGGTGCCCATGGTGGGCTCTGCTCCTATTTGTACAATTACACCATAGCACACTGCTTCATTCTTGATGCCAGTCACATCCTTGTTCCATGACTCACCAAGTATAAGTTACGCAGGTTAGGCAGGTAAAGCCCGGCTGTGCTCTCCAGCTGATTGGCTCGTAGTTCCAGAGCGTGCAGACTGTAAAGCTTAATGCAGTTGAGACTCTCCAATGTACGCAGTTTATTTCCTGTGCAGACACAGTGAAGACAGGAGGATAAGCAGGTCCGAATATAAGAAAGGTTAATTCCTGGATTCAACCACAGCTTGATTTCGAGCTAAGGCCCAACATATTTTACCTTTCATAAATTAAATGCATATAGAGAAGATTTAATTGCCAAAGGTTTTGTCTTTCTGTCCAGCCACTACTCATATATTTACACAGCCCCATCAAACAGCACAGCCAGCGGAAAGCATAACTTGCAGGTTAACCCCTTCATGACTGAGGCCCTTTTTTCATTTTTTGCACCCATTGCGGCCCCTTCTTCGGGACGCAGAAGCGATCTGGCGACAGGTAAGTCGCCAGGATCGCTTCTGTTGTAAAGCCGACAGTCGGCTCTACAAGTTTAAACAGACTCCCGGCGGCAAAAGTCGCCGGGAGTCTGTTTAAACAGCCCCGATGCTGGCGACGTACACTGTACGTCGTCAGTCACGAAGGGGTTAAGGAATACAGTGGTGTCCAGCATTCTGACTACAAAGTGAAAGAGCAGCAGCAGACTGTAGAAGTCATCCAGCTGTGCTCTCTCCTATCACCACATTCCTAGTCAACATATTTGCTTGCAGCACACCTGACTGGCTCCCAGTCCTGCCCCTTTCTCTCCCATTATTAAGATGGCCATGAATTTCAACCAGCTGAAACAGAGCCGTGCAGTGGCTGTTTGAATGCAAAAGGCGTCACTAGAGATTCCTCAATCCATGCTGTTTAGCACTGATTGGGGAATCGACTCCCAAACTGATGCAAGTTGAACGCAGGGGTGTCCCTATCATAATCGCCACTAGAGGTGGGGGCAAGCTGGCCAGAGTGTTCTGCTTCGCTTCTGGCAACAGTGATGTCACTGGTTGCCAAGAGCTGGGTGGGACACCGGCGAAAGTGTCCCGCTGCGCTCCTGGCAACCAGTGACGTCACTGGTTGCCAGGAGCTGGACGGGATGCCAGCCAGGGCGTTCCAGGTTGCTAAAAGCTGGGAGGGGGGGATGTTTATGGCCCTATCGCAGTATACTGAGACGCCGCAGCTGAAGCGGATCCCGACAATTGTGCCAGGATCCGCCCAGCTGCGTGACTGACAGCTGGCTCTGCCTATCTAAAGGCAGAGCCAGCTGAACCCGCCCCCTCCCCCATCCGTTCCGCCAGTCAGCGCTGGCGGATCGGAGCGGGGAGGGGGGAATCCAGCCCCTCCCCTGTCACGGCAGAGAGCCGTGACAGGATCGAGAGGTGAGCGAACCCGGTATGTGTTCGCTCACCTCCCGATCTACTGAGCCGACCTGTGACAGTCTCATTGTCACAGGTCGGCTAGAACTATGAGGTGAGTGAAAAGCACTCACCTCATAGTTCTCCTTTAATGAATTATTGATGAATATATAACTATAGATAGGACGTATATGACATTTTTTTTTTTCTTCCAGAGTCCCACTATAATGTAGGAACAGCAGATGAGACCTAAGGTGCGGCCACCACTCACCTATGAGGTTGAGAGACTCCAGCCTTGGGTGGCCAAGCCCCTGCAGGTTCTGTATGTTGTTGGAGGCCAGGCTGGCTTTTTGCAGGTAGGGTAGTTCCCCCAGCCCGTTGGCACTAGACAGCTGATTCTGATCTACACATAGGCTCAGGAGATGAGTGAGGGCACCCAAAGCATTGAGATCCTGCAGAGCATTCTGGGACAGATCCACATAACGTAAATGTATGAACGATTGCAGGATTGAGATGTCCGTGATCTCTCTATAAGAGGGAAAATGACAATGGAAAGATAAAGGCAAATCATATTCTGGGTCAGTCAGTCCATTCTTTCTAGTTTTATGTTTTTACACAACTCTCTGTGTGATGTCCTACTTCCACCAATCAGATTCAAGCTTGATGTGGAAAGCGTCAGCTGGGAGAGAGCAATATGTAATTTGATTGGTGGCCTTGGGTGATCACAGAAAAGGTCTAACGTTGGACCATATTCCAGATTTTACACTGGTAACCAGATGAGTTTACAATGGTACCGGTCAACACAGGGTCCAATTCTTTCCTAAATGAGGCCTACTGATGATGTGGGACATGGCGAGGACACCATACACAAACACTTAGAAATGACTGAACTGATCACTTCCATATTTCTACATGAACTTACTTATCTTTAACTTCCAGTTTAACGAATGCATGAGCAAGACCGTTTCCTGTCTTACACAGAAGAGACAATCCTTTCTTCAGCATTTCTTCAGTTAGCGGCACGTGGGGAGGAGGCTGGAAATACATCATTTAAAGAAATGTGAATTGACTTAGAGGCATTTATCAGCCATGATGGTTAGAGCGGAACTCCAGAAAAAGCAAATATTGTCCTCATACAAGAGTCAGTCATTTATCCTGGAATCTTGGTGAGCCTTGTGTATTTCATTCAGATCTGTTCAGTAATCCAGAGTGATACTTGGAGCTTCCTGTAATAAAGACCGATCACTGCTGCTCTTTCCTTGTGCAGGATGACTGGTCTTGTCTCCACCCCCTCCTGTAATAAAGACCGGTCACTGCTGCTCTCTCTTTCCTTGTACAGGGTGACTGGTCTCGTCTCTGCCCCTCCTGTAATAAAGACCGCTCACTGCTGCTCTCTCTCTCCTTGTGCAGGGTGACTGGTCTCGTCTCCGCCCCCTCCTGTAATAAAGACCGGTCACTGCTGTTCTTTCTTTCCTTGTACAGGGTGATTGGTCTTGTCTCCGCCCACTCCTGTACTAAAGACCGGTCACTGCTGTGCTCTTTCCTTGTGCAGGGTGACTGGTCTTGTCTCTGCCCCCTCCTGTAATAAAGACCAGTCACTACTTCTCTCTCTCCTTGTGCAGTGTGACTGGTCTGGTCTCCACCCCCTCCTGTAATAAAGACCAGTCACTGCTGCTCTCTTTCCTTGTACAGGGTGACTGGTCTTGTCTCTGCCCCCTCCTGTAATAAAGACCGGTCACTGCTGTGCTCTTTCCTTGTGCAGGGTGACTGGTCTTGTCTCCACCCTACCTGTATCAAAGACCACTCACTGCTGATCTCTCTCCTTGTGCAGGGTGACTGGTCTTGCCTCCGTCCCCTCCTGTAGTTTTCTGCAGGCGCTATGTACTGCATGAAGCCTGCTGGGTCAGTTCAGCTTTAAGCACATCACCATATGGGTGAATAATAGAACCGTGGTCTGTGTTTTTTTAATGCTGCCCCTGTTTGAGAGCTTCCTGTCCTTATGACAATGTTGCCATGGGCACAGGAAGTGCAAGGAAATCCTTCCAATGGGTACACAAACAGCAATAAAAAGTTTTAAGCCTTTTAGAGTGTCTAAAGTTATAAAGAGATGGGTTGCCTTGAGTTACACTCTAAGTTGAGGCTCAACTTGGCTACAAAAAATGTAAGAGAAGTAACATGTAAAACTGAATGAGATAGATGGGGGCCTTTGATCTCTTTCCCCTCTCCCTTACCATGCCACTCCTCATTTATTCGGTGTGTTACCTCTTCTTTTTCTGGCTCCTCCTTCTCCTCTCCTTCTTCTTCTTCCTTCTCTTCTCCCTTATCCTTCTCTCCTTCTGCCTTCTCTTCTTCCTTATCCTTATCTTCTCCCTCAGCCTTCTCTTCTCCCTTATCCTCCTTCTCTCCAGCCTCATCATCTTCACTAGCGTCTTCTACAGGTTCCTGAGCATCCTGCTCTTCCTCGTCCAACGTGTCTTCTTCGGCATCAGACATTTTCTTGATGAGGATGACACTACTGGTAAATAAAACAGTTTGAAGTAGATGGTAAACTACAGGCACTCGTAGCTATAAGATCTTCACGTCTGTTACCAACCTATTCAGGTTCAATAAATCATCACTAGAGAACTACATGTATGAATGAAGATCTGGGAACTCAAACCAAGGACTTCAAAGACAACCCCAGACCCAAGCCACGGATTCCAGGAAAGGAATCTCGCCACAAGAGTCTCCCGGATATACAAGATATCAGACGGTTTATTACTCCAGCCATCAGGCAGAACCTGAGATATCTATATGGGGTGGAATGTTCCTTTAACAGAAACATTCTCGGAGGTTGTATAAGATGGATGTGAAAGACATTTGGTGCAGAAAACCTGGAGATCGGCTACAGGAATCAGATGGCTCTGTATAAAGACAAAGAGAGGCATATGATGGGGGCTGCACAGGAGCTGTAGATGGGGTGTAGGAGAGCAAAGTAATATAGGGTGCAAGGACAATAAAAGTCATGATGTATGGGGAATTAGTCCATAAGGATGGTTTTTGGATGCAGGAGGGACCAATAGTCTAAGGTACAGGCAAGTTAAGAGTGATATGGGGGAGGGCTAGAGATAAAGGGGTGAGAGAAGAGAGGGTCCAGCAGGGATCCAGTACACAGCAGGAACATGGAGCGTAGAAGAGCAGGAGTGCAGGACATGGTGAGGGGGGTGTATGTTCATGTTGGGGCAGAATGGTAGCTATGTGGTCAGCGCTCCTGTCTTACAGCTCTGGGTTCAGATCCCACCTAAGATATGATGTGCACAGAGTTTGCCCCATTATGAATGAATAGAAATGGGTGCATGATTGTGACTGGAGAAGAATGGGGGTTAGTAAAGGG